ATTTAATAATTTTTAATTAGCTTTTATTTTTAGAGTTAAAATTTTTATTTTGTTTTTCTCATTGTATATATAAATATAGATTTATTTGTTCTATTTAGCTATCTTATTTCTATTTATTTTTCTACTTCAAACTTTTAGCTTCCACAAGTTAGCTGCCATATTTTTGCATAGTTTATCAAATATTTATATTTTATATTAATTTTAGCATTATTTAAAAAAAAACATGTAAAAAAATAAAAATAAATACTCTTTGAAAGTGTACATTAAATCAGAAAAGACTAAGTATTTTTAAGACTTTAGGTCCCTTTAGATTTTTAGACATGAAATTTACACGGTATGCCAATGTACTTTAAAGATAGTATATTATGTATATTCTAATGTATATTAATTTTGATTCCTAATTTGACTAGAATCATATAAAATCCTGGATTGAAGCACTGTTTTTATTTAATCAACAGCATAGCATGCATGGATCATACTCTCAGCTACTGTATCAGTTATCTGCTATAGCAAAAAATGTATCTGCCGTATGAGGTAAAACTTTTATATTGTGCATCCCTAGTAAACAGATGAATGAACCCAAACCCACACAGTCCTGTTCTCTCAATGATGTGGTAGAAAGTAACCAATCTCAGGAACAGCAAACACAGAACAGAACACCTCACACCTCTTCTCTCCCTCCCCCAGCGCTGAGCTGATATAAATAGCACTATTCTGCTTTTCCAAAAATCTCCTCCGCACCTCTCTGCACCCTCCTTCTCCTCAAACCTTCCCCTCTATTGCTCTCCCAACCCTTCCCTCCCCATTCAGCAGAGATTCCAGACAGCCGTAGAAAGCGTCTCCTCCCTCGGTTCAACCTTATCACTAACACTGCCAAATGCCAGGCCTGTCCATCACTGAGCAAATGCTCCACCACCCCCGCTGCATCATGGGAAGGGCTGTGGATGTGTACAAGCATGTTTGATTATGAGGCTACGAGTGTCCATACTTGTATGTGATTATCTGAACGGGACATTTCATGTAAACACACGGAAATGGGAATAAAAAGAAAAAAACCTCTAGAAACCCAATATATCCAAAACCTCACCTCACGACAAGTGGAGGAAATTTAGATGAAAAACTAACGTCTGAGCATGTTATAATTATTATCACCATTACTAGTGCTCTGAAGATTAGAGATACTGAATATTAGAGATTTGAAGAAGCCACTAATTATTATCGATGCACCAATATTCAAATACTGGGCGTTACCAATAACTTGTTAAATTATTTTCATCTTATGGCCGATAGCTGATAAATGGCCAATATTAAAATTCTACTAAAATTATATATAATTATATAGAATACATAAAATATTTTTGCCTAAAAAAGTTACAAAATAAAGACACATAAAGTAAAATTAATAGTTATAAAAAAAAAATGCTGCAGTTTTTTTTTTTTTTTTTTTTTTTTTTGAGAATTTAGACGACATTATAATACACAATGTGAAAATGGATGTTCATTTTGAGAGTTTTATTGGTGTTTTTAAAGATGAACTTTAGGTTAGTTTTAGATGACAGAAAAGGTCATCTAAATGTAAAAATAAGAGAAATCAGTTACATCTTTAAACATCCAATATCAGCCAATTCCATTAAATAATAATAAATATAAAAAAAACTCTAGAAATGGAGATAGCATGGTACCGATATATCAGGCATCACTACTAAAAATTGTACGTTTTTGCACTGTTTGTATTACACACACGTATGGCAACTCAAATCAAGTGGCTTGAGAACAACTTTTAATCTGGCGGACAATAAAACGGGTGAATAAACAAGAATGAAGGGAGGGACCATATCTAGTGAACAGAATATCATAAAGACTTGGCTTATTTTGACTTGTGTCAGCAAGTAACCACCTAGCAACAATTAAAAACACTCAGAACTCCTTAGCAACTGCAAAGCAACGCCATAGCATAATGGCAGCAATGTTTCCACAGGCACTCACATTTTCTTCGGAAACAAATAAAATCTAGTTTAACCTCAATATTCCTGTACAGACATCACTGATTAAGAAGCCTGATCTGGAAAAAAACTGAAGTTCAGAATGATCTCACACAGACAGCAGAGCTCCAGGCTGCTGTCAAGCCGCCCACAGCCACAGACAGACCCACCAGCAGCCCACGCGCACACAGAATGAGAGAGACTGAATGAATGAATGAATGGAGCGCAGATGTGACAGGGTGATGAATGGAAAAGAAGGCAAGGAAGAGATTGAAACCAGCTGTGCTTACCTGAAAGAAACCAGGGGGCATTGGTCCGCTCGGCATGCCGTCATTGGGGGGCATGTTGCCCATTACGGGGCTGGGGGCTGCTGCTGCACTCTAGGAAATAGACAGAGAGAACAAGTTAGCATAGATATTAGACAACCCTGATACAATACTAATATTACACGAATGCTACTTTGATTTCGACGTGACATGATTTATAGAGCATTGTTTGGTCCATCAATAACAATATTGTATCAAATGTTTTTCAAACCCTGATGCTGATATCTGGGTAGTTTGTGTTATGCAGTAAATTTCATGTTTACATGTATCTTCATATATTGGATAAAAATATCAAATGCACAATTTGTAAAGATAAACTATATTAGTTAATTTTCTTTTATCAAAATATTTTTGACGCTATTTTTGGCATGTCTAACATTAAAAACTGGCATTTTATTAAGTAATATTACATTTATTTTTCATTTTCTGTTCCAAATGTTTTACTTGAAAGGGAATATTGTTTTAGTTGGTAAATAAAATTAGAGGGGTTAACTTATTTTTATAAATTATAATTTTGATCAAACAAAAAAAGAAAGTTAAAATAAAATATTATTGACATTTCTACTATTATTCTTAACACTAATATAGATTATTTTATAGATTTCATATAGAATATAGATTTTATTTATAGAATATAAAAATAGTTATATTTTAAATATATTCTGTTTTTTTTTTTTTTTTACTTTTAATTCATCAAAGAATCCTAAAAAAAGTCTCACGTTTTCCACAATAAATATTTTGCACATAGCTAAAAGTTTTGGCATCATAGCAATAAACCTTAAAATATATTTATTAAATACTAACTGAACAGAAAAGTTATTTTAAATTGTAATAATACTTATTGCATTTTTCAATCAAATCAATACACATTATTTATCCATAGCATGAGAAGAAATTAAAGTTTTTTTTCAGCTGCCTTACAAGACAAACATAGTGAGCAGATACAATACAACGCAGACCATAAAGAAACAAAACAGGCAGAATTTGCAGCTTGTTTAATTGCAGCAAACAAAGCTTTTAGATATACAATCTCACTACATTGCTCTTAAACAGAGCAGAGTGCAAAGTGTCAGTGTGCAATTATACAAGTAAGATCACTCTCTGTAAACCCACACATTCAACTCAAAGAGTGTTAACACGAGACGTTTATTTGCATCAGAAAAACGCCTGCACTACAGCTCGGTTCTTGTGTATCTGTGTACATACTTCCCCTCATAAAAGGGGCATAAAACAAGCAAACAGAGTGAGAGGAGCCTCAAGTGGAATCTCCTGAGCTAGTGGAACACTTAGAGACTGGGGCCCCTTTCCTCCATTGGCCCCGTTCCCTCTTTCAAACCTCTTTAACGGTCTGCTGCTGGGAGCTTGTGTGTTTGCCAGTCTGCCCTGTTCTATCGGAGAAAGAGAAGGAGATGAGGCACATTGTGTGCGTCAGTGTATGTGTGAGTGAAAAAGAGACTAAACAAGGAGGGAAAGGAGGGAAGATAAAGGAGAAAGTAAGAAAAAGAAAAAAAGAGGGAGGATTAAAAAGCAAGAGCAGGCAGTCGGCTCACACACTCCCTCCCCCTGCTGTAACTCAAACCTCTCTACAGCCGCCTCTGACCTCAAACACACACATACACAAACTCACACAGCCTCTCTCTCACACACATTACCCTTGGGGTCAGTGGGCGGAGCTTATTTAGAACGGCTCCTCCCATTTAATCCACAAACACAAACACTGGGGAAGGCTAATATATGAAATACTCAAGGATTTTGCTGCTGATATAAAATAAAGCAACACTACTAATTACTTTAATGTGCTTTTTATTTGGCAATTATGTTTCCTACCAATTAACATCAAAAAATGTTGCTTTAATGACAAAACTTCAAGTAGCAAAACGGCTTCTAAAGTTGATTCATTTCTGTGAAGCAGTTAACGTAATTGAAATTAAATTGGCCATTTCAATTAATCAATTCATTTAATTGTCAATTGAAATGAATCGTTTCAAAACTATGATTCATTGATTCATTTGCACCATCACTCAGATGTTAACAGAAGTCCCTGAAATATTTTAAATATTGAAAATGATTTTGCTGGTAATATAAAATGAAGCAACATTGTGATGATTTTAATGTGCTTTTTATTAGGCCATTAAAGACCATGTCATTAGACTAGTTTCACAATTCCTCCTTGTCTTTTTTCTCAAAAGCATGACAGCGCTAAGACAGTAATTCAGACTTCAGTAGAAAAAGTGCCATTAGATTTGGCAAGGTCGATTAATTTCTGTGAATTAGTTCAACCTGTCATTTTAAATTAATTAAAAAATATGATTCGCTGATTTGTTTGCATCATCTTTTAAAAACAAATTTTCAAGTTGTGACAAAATTATAATTCACCTTATCTATTTTTTAAACAAATGTTATAGATCTTATTGTGAATGATTTATCCATGCATACGTTTCCTTTTTTTTACTATATTTTTGACCTCCTAATTTTTCATTTAAAAAAATGGTGAAAACTAGAGTCTTCTTTCTGTTAACTTATGTCAGACTGGAAGGTCACATTCAGTTCAGCCTCCATCCAATCTACAACTGAGGAACTTAAGTTTTCCCCATAACTCTTTTTAGCTAGATGTATGTCACAAAAAATATGGAAGGAAAAAAAATCAGTCAATATACATAAAATAACCACTTGTGGGTAAGGAGTAGTGGTCGACCGATATTGTTTTTTTGACAGCCGATGCCGATATCTTGGAAAGCAGGGTGGCCGATGGCCGATATAAAGCCAAATCATTTTATTTAATGTTTAAGAAATTTGAAATCATTTGAAAATGGATTAAAAAATAAATTTGTTAAATAAACATACTTATACTTTAGATGACAAAGTATTTTTCACAAATAAATAAATATTTAATAAAAAATATAATATAAAAGGAAGTAAACACTGTAACCAACAGGGCACTCAGTATTCTGGGAATCATATTTTTTCAAATAAAGTCAAGGTAACACTCATTTTACATACAGCACACAGTGGAAATGACATAAATATGGCAGTGGGCAAATGCATAAAGCGCAGCATAATTTGAAATCACGAGTTTAATGTTTGTCGATCATGCATCTCCAGTGATGCTGAACTTTCCTCCTGTCCGCATTCAAATCACACGGATCGACCGTCACGCAGAGAACACGCGATCATGCAGGATGTAAATGCACACTTCACAAGATCTCACAACTGGATCCGACTAAGTTTGCAGGCTTTGTGAAATTAAATGTTCATTAGTCATTCAAAGATTTGTTCAAATGATTTAAATGCATATTTGCTGAATGCTGACTGCAAACAAGAGCGTATTATAATGTTTGCCTTTCTATTACTAATAATATAAAAGCAACTGTTATAATACTTTTCGTATGCATTTTAACTCCTTTGTTTAACCGTTCTATCTGATTATTAGACAGACTTCTATCCGTATTAGACAGAACTGTTAACGACGACGGCGAACAAGAGGGAGAATGTGAGCACTGTGCCACCAAATTAAAAGTCCTGCCTCGAACGCATCGGTCAAACAGGAAAACTAATCGGCCGATGCCGATATTTAAAAAATGCCAAATATAGGCCGATATATCGGTCGACCACTAGTAAGGAGTTTATTATTTTTTTGCTGTATTTTACTTATAAAATGTATACAATTTTTTGAAAATACATGGCAATACTAAATGATTGGAAAAAATATCTCCTCTTTTTGAGAGGAAAAAAAAACTTTGACAAAAGGTTGAAAAATGTCAAGAAATAATCTTCTCAGCTTATGTCGTGCTGCTACAACACCTGCAAACACACTCAAGAGGCAGGCAAGTACTAAGACTGAGGTAGAGTTTGCTCCTAAACACATACTCACACACACACACGTTGAGATACTGGCAGCTGGTACCGATCAAATACTCAGGGGAGGTGAGTGTCTGTGAACAGTGTCTGGTTGCCTGTTCCACCTTGAGATCTGTGGCTCTTATAGAGCTGTTATACAGCATCACCCCCTGTGCCATACACACACACACACACACACACACTCACACTCAGTCCCCCCTCGCCAACCCAACCAATCCCAGCTAACAGAGCAGTACAGGGGGCGTGTAGTGAACCGTAACCCGGGGCGACCGGAGAGTATTAGCGCTCGGGCTCCAGCTCTTTTACGAGGAGAGAGAGAGACTGCGGTGGCTAGATATGGCTTCATACACACACGCACACGCTTAAACACACAAAGAGCTGTGTATACTGCGGACAGAGGGAAGGGACACGAGAACTGCAGAGTGTGTGTGTGTGTGTGTGTGTGTGTGAGTAAACCGAGTCCTGCAAGTAAGATGCTGCTCTGTTCAGGTGCATAAAAAGAGTGAAGAAGAGGGGGAGAAGGAGGCCTCCTTTGCCTTGTTGCCATGACAACCCCGATCTCAGCTCTCCCTCTACAGTGCCATTAAAACCCTCAGGCCGTCAATCATCTGCCAGTAGGGAGAGTGTGTGCATGCGTGTGTGAGAAGGGAGGGACCAAGCTTTTCAGCGCTCGTCTCGTTTCTCACTGATTACTGCCATCATCTCATCAAGCCATTAAACAGCAGCTCATTTCGGTATACACACCTCTACACCAGCCACTAGATAACAGTACTCATGTAAACATAAACATACACACACAACATGCTCTCTCGGGTATTACGCTTCGGCAGGGTACTCAATACCCGCTACACAAGTAAACAAACACTTGAGCATGTTCGCATAAACACTTTTTAAAATCTCAACAACAGAACAAATTTTCGACAACCAGTGCTTGAGAAAATAGACACACGTGGCTCTGATAAAAAGTACTGAGTTTGTACCATGGTATATTATGAGTATCAGACAGAAACACCATGGTATTGTATGACTACCATATTCACATACCTCAGCATTTACTAAGCGTGAGAATAATAAAAGAAACGAAATACTAAAATATATATATATATATATATATATATAAAATAAAAATAGCCTATATATAATATAATTTAAAACAATTATATATAATATAAAAATACAAAAAACTAATATATA